GCCCTTACCTGGAGTACTATGTTCACCAGACTAATGGTAATTTTTTGTCCCTCACAACTTGGGCTGCATTGAAAACAGAATGCTAAAGAAGAATTAAAAAACCCCTCATTTCTTGCCTATGCTACTTGCTTTGAAAATCGGAGCCAGTGTATATCAGTGATGTTTATATGAACAAGAAAATCAAATGAAAATACAGCAAAAGCTCTGTTATCCAGCACCCATGGGGAATTGGGGGGGGTGGGAGGGAGGGTGCTGGATAACCAAACAGGCCTGTTACCTCAGAGGCATCTTTGCTTGGACGGGTCGCCACCCCTCACACCGCATCCAGTACACCAGACTTTCATTCCCTAGTGTCAATGTGGCAGGGGACAGGGAGCGGGCCCCCACATAGGTTGCTTTGCCCCAGGCCATGGCCCAAAGTCGGCAAAGTGGAATTCAAAGTCGACCAGCATGCCAGTTAATAGAGCACGCCGGTTAATAAAGTGTCAGATAACATGGCTTTTACTGTACTTTACCATATTTCTTAGACAAGGCAAGCAAACTATATAAAAAATTTTCACAATCTAGTTGTCATTTATAATAAATTAATGTTTACTACAAAAATAAACTGAAATGTCCCTCTTCATATTTCTAATTCTCAAATTAAATCTTCCTAATATAAAATTTTCCCCCAACTCTTAATCTCAATTTACCTCTCTGTGACTGTTCAAAACATTTAGCCAACTTAAGTAAAGCTCACCTTCACTGCTTCCTAGTTGCAAATTTTGTGAATTAATATTTTCTCAATTAGATCAATAATGCAAATGCAGTTTCTCTGTAAATTATACTTTTTTCCCCCTCAGTAACTAGGTGTTTTTGATCCTCTCACTTTCTACACTTTCTTTAATGTAAGGAAACTTTGCAAAGACAAGGGAAATGTAACACTAGCAACAACAAAAAAGGCATATTTCATAAACAAGGCAGATATTACTAATTTTTGGTACTATTACAACTTCATCATCAAGATAAACTAGAATATCCCAGACTAGATTCTGTTAACATCAGCAAGAGAGGCCCTCTCACAAGCACAAAACTTGCCTTAATTTCTTTTAAACAATTTAGAAATCATCATTCTATATTAGTTTTCATTTTTAAGTAACTTAACTTTTTATGATTGCTGAACCAAATCAACAGTTTAGCTGATTTAGTACAACAGCAGGTACAGACATTTGCTCTCCCAGGAGAAACTATCCTGGGACGATTTAACCCTGGTTGTTCCCAGGTCATTTTTCTTCTGGAGTGACCAATTTTATTTTGAGAGGAAAAGCCACAACATCTGGATTTTCATGAACATTGCCCAATTTCGCAATTTTCATGAAATCGCGATTTAAGTAGGTCTCTATTAATTAGATGCAATTTGATATTTTGTTGAAATATTTTGGTCGAAATCATGGTTTCTTCTGAGAGAAACCCAGGAGAAAATGAATGTCTGTATGAGGCCTGTCCAAGATCAAGATGGTAATTCTGGTTTCCAAAGCAATGGGAACAAAGCATCTTTAGAAGTAAGATATACGTTATCTTAAGTACTAATTCTAAATGTGGGCATTATTTTAGAATTAGATTAGAGCAGAAACAAGCTAGAGGAAGCAGGACACAGATAAAACTGGTTTCTAAAACTTGTTGAAGCACTAGATATTGATTTTGGATACTTTCTCCCACGTGTGCTGGCTCTCCTAACATGGAAAGCAATGAACTTCAACAAAAATGACAAAAATGTACCTAAACTTGAATCTTTTTTGTGACACAAAATTATCTAACAGTTCACTGAAGACATATCAGAATAAATCATTCTGTGACACTGCTAATGCAATGAATTGCAACTGGACTCCTGATTGATGTCACAGAAAAATGCATTCTGAAATGTTTTCAATCATCTAGAAAGTACTGAGAAGAGTTCAGGGGGCCAGAAGACAACTTTTACTAAAAAAAAAAAAAAGAAGATTACTTTTGCACTGAATAAATCATCTCTGTGTTGCATGTGCTCACTCTCTCTCATACACACATGCACTAACTGACTGTGACTTTAACAAAAATCAGGCCTGCGCGAATAGGGAAGTATTAAATTCAGATCCAGATTTGGCCAATTCAGAGGACAATGGTTCAATTTGGAGATTCGGATCACTGTCCCGAATTGATTCGGCCGAATCGGCTTCAGAAGATTCAGCGAGATTTGGTGATTTGCCATAGACTATAATGGGGAATCACTGAAATACCTATAACTTTGTCATTTGTTGGTAGATTTGGATGAAAACAGCAGAGATGGTACCCCCTTCTGAGGGCATGAAGCCTGCCAAGTTTTAAGGAGATAGGTGCATGTGTTTCTGGGAAACTGCACCTCAAACTCCTGAAAGCAACATTCATGTCACTTGTGTATGCTAAGGCAGATTTGGATGAAAACAGCAGAGATGGTAGCCTGTAGCAGGGGGCCTTCCCAGTGCTGGTTAGATCTCTGTCCACTCACCTGTTTCTGGGCCAGCGGTCCACCCCTCTTTCCTCAGGCAGAAACAGCTCACAGAAGGGACAGAAAGGCTGCAGACAGAGGCTTATATACTGCTTCTACGTCCCTTTCCCAGATCACTGCGCTTGGAAGGGGACTCCAGGAAAGATCACAGTCACTGGCCAGCTACAGATGTCAGTCTTTCCCTTCCTGCTCCCCCTTCCTCTTCTCAGTTTCTGTTCCCCTGAAAGAGTGCCTTATGAATCGCTGAACCTTTTTCCAAATCTTTTCCAAATCAATTCAGAGGCTCCGAATCGATTCAGAGCTTTCTTTTTAGTCTCCCGATTCGATTCGGATTCGGTGATTCAGCCTCTGAATTGGGTCAAATCTTCCCCAAATCAAATCGGTGACTAAAGGTTAGTACACCCCTACAAATCACGTAATTCATTACTGCCCTGACATGGCAAATACTCACTTGATGTTTTTCCACGTGCAACTCATCAGTCATGTAAGGCCCTTGCCACATTATTCTGAATGTGGCAAGGGCCACATTACACTTAAGAAATGACCAGGGATCCTGGTTTTCTCCAATTAAAAAAAATCCCCAACATTCGGTTAAAAAAGTAACCCCAAATCCACATTTTTTCCATGATTAAAATGAAACACCACTATATACATATCTATATATTATATCAGTGGTGTTTCATTTAAATCATGGAAAAATATGGATTTGGGGTTACTTTTTTTTTTAAACCAAAAATTGGGGGATGGGGGGGGGTTAAATCAGAGAAAACTGGGATCCCTGGAGATGATTAATAAGGTAATCACATCTGAAGTTGTGACACAGCCACATGTTCAACCAACTAACAGCATAATAAAACAAGAAATAAGCAACACAGTTATTCCACAAAAAATGTGTAATAAACTTTGTGGCTGGTTCCTATCATGCCATTAACTGAATATGTGATCTGGGTTCCCAGCCATGGGCAGACCATGCACCTCCAAGGCAGGGAGCCTGCAGCTGAACCAGGCCGCCAGCCATGAGAGTGCATAGCACGCCCCCTCCAGCTGGGTTCTCCGTCAGCTGACCCAAACCATTACCTTTATTAAACTGTATTGTAAGGCTTACAGAATGTGTCTACATTCTTTGTTCTGTGAACAGCTAGTAGTGTGGCTAATTCAGTACAAATCTATTTAATAATCTGCTGAGGAGGCTCCCAGACATGGGAGCTCGCTACTTGGTGGTACAACACACTAGCAATTGGGTATCATAGGATTTGACATGCAATCCCACAATCATACTTCCTGCCCTGCTTGTGTGTGGATTGTGTGGATAGTACATCAGATCCCATTGCAACTTTATCTGTATATCTGGCAAGGGCTTCAGACGCACACATGCACACTCCCCCCAGCTGACTGGAAATTAATATTTTAAAACAAATTATGTAACCCATTACTGCCATGGTACTGCAAGTACTCATTCAATGTTTTTACACACACAAGTAAAATCAGTGATGTTGAATTTAATAGAAATATCATATTTTCTCTCACATACCTTTTCCTAAAACTCAGCCCCCCAGAACTGACATGTGTTTTAAGTGAAGAAGCTGTTTTCCTTGCTGCAAAAGAAGCACACCTGAAGACACCATGCATGTCATGCAGCTGCCAAGATGGCAGAGTCCTGTTTTGCCCCACTCATAACAATTGCTTTCAGCTGAGCACCATAACATCTACCTGAAGCAGCGAGCTACTAGTATTGTCGTGATGAGGCTTCTGATATGGAATCAACACTCTAGCAATAGGAAATTATAAGAAGAACTACTTATAGTAAAGAACTAAGTTTTGCTACTACTATCCTTGCAAGAGTCCAGGGCCTAACCTTGTGTGACAGAGTTCTCCTGGAAACAATGTTCAGAAAATGTGGCATCCCAGGAGACAGTCTGGGTGAGACAACTGGCACCAGGAATTTCCTGGTGCCATGCTTTCTCAATACTATCTTTCCAGGAGGACTTACTCTATGTCACAGATTCATCTAAGTAGTTTTCTGCGTTCTGCCTTCCAAAAACAAGGTGTGTGTTCTATGGGGAAGGGGTGTTACATACACAAAAATACGGTAATTATGTATGTTTGTGTTGGCAGGATTGAAGCCCACCTGTTTATTTTAGTTAGAACATGGACCAGCATGCATCATATACTAAAAGACGTGCAATAAAAATATTTTTTACAGCACAAATTTACATCATGTCATAATAGAGAAATAATTTTAAAACCTTTTTTTAATTTTCCAGCAATAAACTGACTGTAATGACTGTGTAAGTATGAGATTGTTCTTTATTTTTTACAGCAACACTAGCACACAAATAAGAAACAAAGTAGATGGTACAATACAAAAGGAATAAAAGCAGATATTATCCTAGTTCTCCATTTATCATTTAATATCTGTTTGACTGTCAGTTCTCAGTAGTTTAATGGGACTTTGATAACTGTAGCATTCATCAAGGCTATTTTTTGGATGGTATCTCACCTGGTCTCTTCATCATCCCAAGCGATTCTCATGCCTTTCCCGCCACCACCTGCTGAGGCCTTGATCATGACAGGGTAGCCTAACAGCAGGGAAGAATTAGACAGAAGTTCAAACTTTGATCAGTTGGTAATATGAACATGACAACTGACCACATGTCCAATAATGAAGTAGACAATAACTGGTTTATTAGAAAGCAGATGATTTGGAGAGATTCTTTTTTATGGTACAACTAGGCTATCAGTACAATGATTTTTGATGCCATGAAAATGCTGCCTTCCCCATTTCATTTAGAACAAAAAAACAATTTTTTTTAATGTATGAACAGTTCCCAAATAGCAAAGAAAATGTTACATAAATGGATGTATTTGACCTCCAAAATAGCTTTCCTGAACAAACAAGCTATGTTACTCTCCTACTGTTAAAATAAATATTTATTCTGGTAAAATTAAAAGATATATACTTTATCAACAGGAATAGACAGTAGTGTCAAAAGTGTCAATAGGTAATTGCGGTAAACTTTAAATACCTAGCGACATCTCAAAATATCTATGCTGCATGCACATTAAGCAGGTGAATAAACATAATTAAACATGGATAATCATTATATGCTGAACTTGCTATAATCTTTCCAACAGAATGTAACAAAACTGTTTCCTCTAAGCTGATAAGGAACTAAAACTAAAGGAGGGGCAGAAATCTGACCACTCTTCCCGTACTGAATAATAATTTATTCCAGAGTAAGGTAACTTAATACTAGTGTTTGAGTCTGGTTCAAGAAGCTTCTTGAACATAAAAAATTGTAGCAGAAAAAGGTCATAACTATAAATTGTATTTAATTACAATAAACACTTCTGTTTAAATTTAAAATTATCTTCCAAAAGTTATTTCTTGTGTGTGTTGATGAATCTACCCTTCTCTTAGACTAATCTATAGAAATTAAGTAGTGAAAAAAGATTTGGGGGCTGTAGTGGATTCCCAAATCAATATCTTTATTAAATTGCACTGTAAGGCTTACAGGATGAGTCTACGTTCTTTGTTCTGTGAACAGCTAGTGGTTTGGTCATTCCAGTGCAAATCTATTTAATCTTCACTCGCTCCACTTGTTGTTTAACAAAACTGCTTCTGGACAGCATAAAGTTATTTTATTTTGACTTTGTCTGCATGATGGTGTCCATGGGGAGAAATGATAAAAAGCACATAAAATAATCATACAGAGAAAGTAATTTTTCCTACTTCATAAAACAAGATGAGGGAACACTGTACAAAATTAAATTCAAAACTAATAAGAGAAAATACTTTCCCACATGATATGCAATTAGACTGTGGAACTCCTTGCCTCTGAATGCAGAGGAGGCCAATATCTTCAAACAGTGATTAGATAACCATCTAGAACATCCAGGATGCTCACAGTTAATGGTAATCAAAAGACTACTGAAAGGATGCAAAACCTCATGCTTAAGTCTTAGATTACTTTCTAAACTACTGAATTTTGGGATGAGATCAAAAATCAGGGAAGAGGGACTTATCCCATATCTGCCTCTGTATAAATCAGTTTCTTGCATCTTCCTCTGAAGCACTTGTTATTGGATATTAGACTAGATCAATAACCAATCTGATTCACTACGGCAATTCCTATGTTCCAACTGAATATTATAAATTAAAATGAATGTTATGTGCTCCACAGGAATATCATGGGAGCATGGAAAAAAGTTTACCTTATTATCAATATTACCAATTATTTCAGCCTGGTATAGTTAATCATATTATTGCCTTGACTGGCTTATATAAGTAGACCCTACTGCTACTTCACTGACCATATTTTTGCAGAAAGGAGGTATATCAGAAGCAAGCACAGTGTGTGTGTGGTCAGTCTGAGGGGAAAAGGAGTCCAGGAGAGCTGGCTGTATTTTACAGAAATCTTACTGAGGGCACAGGAACAAGCCAACCCGATGTGCAGGAAGAATACTAAATTTGGCAGGCGACCAGCCTGGCTTAGCAGAGAACTCTTCAGTCAGCTTAAACACAAAAAGGAAGCTTACAAGCAGTGGAAACTTGAACAGATGATTAGGGAGAAGTATAAGAACATTGCTTGAGCATGGAGGGATGAAATCAGGAAGGCCAAAGTGCAAGTGGAGTTGCAGCTAGCACGGGACGAGAAGAGTAACAAGAAGGGTTTCTACAACTATGTTAGTAACACGAGGAAGATCAGGGAAAGTGTGCGTCAATTATTGAATGGGGGAGACAACCTGGTGACAGATGAGGAGTAAAAGGCTGAAATACTCGATGCCTTTTTTAACTCAGTATTCACAGGCAAGGTCAGCTCCCAGACTACTGCATTGGGCAACACAGTCTGGGGAGAAGGTGAGCAGCCCTCAGTGGTGAAAGTACAGGTTAGGGACTATTTAGAAAACCTTGATGTGTACAAATCCATGGGCTGGATGGGATGCATCTGAGGATGCTGAGGGAGTTGGCTGATGTGACTGCAGACTTGTGATGATCTGGGGAGGTCCTGGATGATTGGAAAAGGGCAAATATAATGTCCATCTTTAAGAAAGGGAAGAAGGAGAATCCAGGGAACTAAAGACCAATCAGCCTCACCTCGGTGCCTGGAAAAATCATGGAGCAGGTCCTCAAGGAATCTATTTCTAAGCACTTGTGGGAGAAGAAAGTCATCAGGAAGACAGCATGGATTCACCAAAAGCAAGTCATGCCTAACCAACCCAACTGCCTTCTCAGGTGAGATAACTGGCTCTGTGGATGTGAGGAAAGAAGTGGATGTGATATACCTTGACTTAAGCCAGGCTTTTGATACGATCTCCCACAGCATTCCTG